TAGAACTGATGAGCCACATATCACCGAAGCATGCATGCAAACTCATGTTAGGTCATGATGAAAATATACATATAACAGAGAGAGACAGATGTTATATATGTACGTACCAGAGATTGGAGGGTTTAGCATGCAGTCGCTGATGGCCAGCGCAGTCGCAAGGATGGTAAGGGAGAAAAGCAGAACCTTTGCTGCCTTGCTCGTCTCAAGGAGGTTCTTCATCCACTGAGCCCTCCTTCGCGTCGCTGACGGCTTTGCTTGATTCTTGTATCTTAGCACGAGCTCGTCCTCGTCCTGTTGATTTGGGATCAGGCAGATCTTGGCGTACCGCGAGATCAACGAGTACAGAGCAAACGTTCCACCTGACGAAAACCGAGCAAATAACGTATGTACGTGCACCTTATTAGCTCCGTGTCGATTTTGCAACTCATCTCATGACAAGAAAGATCATGGTGAATTAAATTCAGTAGCTAGGTAGCATCGTCGACCGCACCGTCACCCTCGTCGTTGGCGTAGAGCGCGATGAAGACGATCTTGATCATGGTGAAGAGGATGAAGCTGTAGATGATGATGGACAGTACTCCGAGGACGTCGTCCTCATGCTTGACGCCATACTTGAAGGTGTTGGCGTAGACGTAGAGAGGCGACGTGCCGAGGTCGGCGTACATGATCCCCACGCACTGGAATGCCAGCCGTAGCGTCCGAACCCAGCTCTCCTGCCGTCCATGATGGGCGGCGTGGGCTGGCCTCGTGGCGTCGCGGTACAGCGAGTCCTGCCGTAGCCAGTTCACCGCCGGCAGCTCCAGCTCCAGGTCGCCGCTGTGGGGCACCATCTCCAGGCCACCTCCGGCACCGGCTTGTGCCATCTTTCTGTCGCCGGCGGCTTCCTCTGTAGACTGTAGTAGTCAAGGGCAGTACAGGTACCTTTGTACGGCGGAAAGGATAACCCACTCCGCACTGCACCGTCCCTCAAGCAGCACCCTGTAGGCTGTAGCTGATTTGTTGGCTTCACAGCTGCTCATGGATGTCGCCTTGGGACGCCTTTTATAGCCCAACTATGGTACGTAACAGCGCGTGCAACTTGTGCTCTCTTTTTTCCTATCTTTGTGGCGTCTTCGTATCGTATCTTGGAAACTTGACAAATTTTCTGATGAATTCTGATCAAATTTATTGGTTAATTGTTGGAGGAAACCTAATTATTAATTAATGGTCGCAACATCAAATTTTTATGACGGCTGGTCAAAAGGAGAGAGAGAGAGATGGTAATGTACAGCTGCGGTACGGTACATAAGGATGTGTGGGAGTACTGTGGGGTATGTTGTGCTTAGGTCTTCGATGTATTTATTTAAGAATGACTTTATTTTCATAAAGCCAATGGTAAGCGAATAGAACTACTGGTCAACCGTAAAAAGAAGTTTCGTTTTGTTCGTTGTTTTCAACACGATGCCATTGCCACATCATCGAGAGTGGTTTTATGTTGATGAAGAAAATCACATCTTCAAATGCATACTTTCAATTCAATTGTTTTATATTCCGGTCATATAGCATTAAATGTGTGACATGGGATTGGAGGATTGTTAGATGAAATGAAAATTTTTCTTCCAATGTTAGTGTGGAATAGTTTCCATATCTTACAAAGAGTGTACAGCCAATTGCATCTAGCTAGATCAAATCCCTCCCTCTTCTCTCTCATAAGTCTAGTGTCATGTCATTAGTTGCGTATATATCACCTCATTTAGGCTTTGTTCCTTTGTAGCTTGGAATGGCCTGGAATTGTTCCTGGCTTGGAACTGTTCGATAATTTGTACTGGCTTAGAAATGATCCTGACCTAGAGTGGCTGGGAACGCCTAACCGAACGGCGTCTTAATGAGAATAAAACCCTCCACTAGATTTGGCATATTATGGAACTTTCTTAAAGTAGCACTTAATCTTTCTATGTTTTTACATCAATTTTAGAAGCGTTAATTTAAAGAGCTGGTTTTTTAAAAGATGTTTTAAATTTACGAGTGAGGAAACAACTTTGCCCTGACAGGCTTTCTATAACAACTTCCTTCAATTTCAAATCAGTGCTAGTTTGGGTTGTCCCAAGGGTTAAATCTTTTCTATTTTATTTACAAATTACTTTTTACATGTTAATTTTCTGAAAACAAAAGGAGCATATTTCTAATGAAAATTGAATCGCTTTATAGTAACATACTTTTCCCATGTGTTACAGTTGTAAAAACATTGTAATGTCTATGTTCGCTGTAGCAGCTACTAAGAGCAAGGCTAATAATATAACCTGCTGCTTGCTGTATGGATCTTTGTAGCCCATCTCTCAGCCAACCCATATAGTAATTTGCTCTTCACTGTTAATATATGACTTACCTGTCTCTCATAAAGTTTATTGGTTCTTACGTATAAGTCAGCTGAAAACTTACGGCGCGCTTTTGCTCTCTCTCTCCTCCACTTCAGCATAACAACTCACTTACACTTTATTGTACTTGCTCTAACATGTGAGCGGCTGCTGCCACCGAAAAAATGGCTGCTGAACAGGTCCAATGGTTAAAGCTGTGCTTATTTGATATATCTTTGCTCGGAGCGCATAGTTGTATATAAACTTTCACAGCTTCCATGCATGCTTTACCGTTACTAGTAATCAGTAACGTAATCTTGACCCGCAAGGCGCCGACCGTTGAAGAATCGGAACCCAGCAGGAAGCTAGTCGCACATTGCAAGTGCAGTATAGGTGACGACAGATCGAGGCGACCTGGGCGTTGACTTGTTAGTTTTTACCAGGTGGTGATGGCACCTGGTCCGTAAGAAACCTGCATTGTTAAGAGCTGGTTCAACAAAGTGTACGTTTAGAGCCCATCTTTTCAAAACTACTGTAATCGTACGTCTAGCTAATTGTCTTCTTTAGGAGTTATGGTTAGTGGCTGCCGTACTCCTACGTACTAGGACTTTTTAGCTGCCCACATGCGTATTTGCTGGCGTGCCGGTGCCGCGCTCAAGTCTATGGTTTTGCTGGACTGAAACTTTGGTATTCTAGTCGGCGCAATTTAATTTGTTCATAAGTACAGGACGTACGAAATCTGAGTTAGTCAAATGTTCTCACCTTATTTTTGCATAATAATATAATAATTTTTCTGTGAACAAATTGTAGCTTAGCTATTTAAGTTTATTAATATAGTGAACCTCTACTGTTCACCTAGTTTTGAGTCCTCGAGGTGATCGCATTTCTTTGAATTTATTTTATTTAGAATTTAATGCGCCAGTAGTAGACGATGTGGTTTATGGTCATAGGGATAGGGGTACAGGCGTAGAGCGTGTGCGTGAGTTCGTATTAGTCGATCAGTGTACATACATGTATTATATAAGCGTATGTGTCCGTACTGTGATTAAAAAGTATTATAATTTTTCTAACTTTAACTAAATGCTAATAGTATATTCTCTCCGTCCCAAATTATAAGTCATTCCAACTTTCTTGAGAGTTAAAGCATCTCAAGGTTGACCAACGTCATATAATAAAATAATAATATTTTTGATACCAAATAAGTATTATTAGATTCTTCGTTAATTATATTTTCATAGTATAACTATTTGATGTCATAAATCTTTGTAATTCTTTCTATAATTCTTTCCATGTCTGTCGGCCGTAGCCCTACTAATGGGTCGGGTTTTGATTTGGGGCTTGTTTGGACGGGTGTAAATGGGTCATGGCATCTCATGGGTTGGGACGGGTTGGGGGTACTGCAAGAGTGGGTTGGGGCGGGTTGGGACGGGTTGACTTGCACAACAGAACTTACGCCTGTCGCCGGTGGCCTGATCTCCGCTCGCACCGAGCTCCCACCCCGGCGGCTTCTTCTCCGCTCGCGTCGTACGACGGTAGCTGCTTCTCGCAACGTACGCCAGTAGGCCCTCACACTGGGGGCCGGCAGGTGCTTGTCCCGGCCGCCTGATCTCCGCTCGCACCGAGCTCCCACCCCGGTGGCTTCTTCTCTGCTCGCGTCGTACACGGCAGGCCCTCACGCCATGTGGGCGAGAGGAGCGCAGTGCGGGGCAGAGGCACTCGAAGAGCTCGCCGGTTCCTGGCCGCCATAGCAGTTGCTTCTCTCGCGTCTTGTTGCTCCACGAGCCGCCGCGCGGGCCCAGCTCTAGAGGGTGTACACGCACGGCCATGGAAGATGTCATCGCCGCACGGCCCAGCTCGCAAGGCCCGTGGCTGTTGAAGCGGATGAGGACGCTGGCTACGGGTAGTTGCGGGTTAAGCGGCGGCAGCGGGGCGGGTTGGGTTGGGTTGAGGAGTTGATTGTTTGGGAAGGGTTGGGTTAGGAAATCTCTCTCATAAGCTGCGGGTTGGGACGGGTTTAGCCCCATTAGCAGGGCTGGTCGATCGTCTCTGTGCTCCACACGTGCACACCAACACAGCTAAGACACATGTTGCCCACACACTCACGCTAGGGGTTAGTCTCAAACTAAACCAAAACCGATCATCTTGATAATCACTCATCACAACTTGACATATAAGGGCGCATATCAACCTTGTGTTCGCATGGGCAAAACACATGAGTCGATTGGGATAATAGTAGTTAGCTCACATTATGTCTTTGGAAAATTGTCACGTTGAAATATATTGATCTTTCATACAGGCACGTTGCGAGCTCTTAGAGCGTCCACAGTGTGTCAACCCGTCCTTGGGTCTTAACTAGAGCCCATAACTGATTAGACGTCACATGTTCTTCTATCAGCAATGTATCGAACCCAGCATGAGTCCATACGTGGGCCCAAAATCAACTGCACCCTCCTCTCCTTTGCGCGAGCAGCAATGCCAGGAAAGAGTTCTTTATTTCTTCGACCCAGGTTCCATGCGAAGGAGCCGGTCCTTCATCGAACCATGGTTGCAGTGTATAGGACCGGGTTCCATCGACCCTCCCACTGCGGATGCTCTTATATTACAACCGCATATCAACATGAAAGGAAAAGAATAGTTCCAATCAAATATATATACTCCATGTGCGACCTAGATCTCATATGTTATTCCAACTTTGAGTAGTTGGCCTCTTGGAATGGATAGCATCTTCTCTCCATTCCTTGAGTTTTTCCTTAGGAAGCTATAGACGTAGTTCACAATTATCTTCTTTAACAAGTTTGAATGAGGCTTGGCTACTACTTCACTCTCCCCAATTATATAAACAACACCTTTGTCCACCTCGCGTTGGATGATCTTTTGATCCTCCTCAATCTTCAACATCTCCTCCAGGTTCATTTTCCCTGTCTGTTATCAGAAAAGAGAATATAAGATTAGCACACAAACAAATGAGGAAATAAAATTTTGAAGAATAAGGTTGTTAATTTCTAAAAAAACAAAACACATGCTGTATGAATCTATCACCTGGAAATGTGCCAATCTACTGCTCATGGAGACTGGATGCATTGTGAGCTCCGAGAAGGATTGGGCCGGTGTAAGCATCTCCTCAGCATAGATGGTATGTCCTGAGGGCTTCCTCTCCCAAGAAAAGCTGTCCACCCGAGCACTATGGAAGACAATCTTCAATGGTTCATCACCACCAACTCCGTAGAGGTTTAAGTCCCTAACATAGTACTGGAGGTACTCAACTAGAATTTTAACAAAATCACCAGCCGTTTCGAGCGTGTCACGGTACCCATATCTTGCCACACAACGGAACACCATGAAATCCTTGGGCTCCACTTGGCGGAAGAGGAAACGCTCCGTGACATCGACATGGGGTACTGGCAAATTCTTCACCGTGATGAAGACAATCACCGAGTGGATGGTAGGGATCTTCTCGATGAGGTGAGGGAAAATAGGTGGTATGCCTTGCACCAGTTCAGTGTAGAAAAGCCCTAGGCCTGGAACTCTCTTTAGGTCACTGCGCTCGAGCAGATCTTTTGCCTCGTCTCGTGACACAGTGTGCTCAAGCTCGTACTTGTACCGCTTGACATGCACGTAGTGCCACACAATCATGATGAACATGAGAACAGCCGACATGGCCACTGGCACATACGGTCCATGGGTGAACTTATACAGGACTGCAGCTGTGTAGATGGACTCTGTGGACATGAAGACAGCGAAGAATATGGCTATCCACCAGATGTTTACCTTCCACACGAGGAGCATCACTATTGTCATCAAGAGAGTTGTGATCACCATGACAAGGACCACACAGATTTCTGTTTGTACAGGTAGAAACATATATAGTAAGTGATGTGTATGTGTATAAAATGAAGCCATTTCTGTGTGCTGAAAATGTTTAGACTTTTGCTTCAAAAAAAAAAAAGTTTAGACTTGTTACCATGTGCTTTGGCTATGAAACCAGTTGTCCTGAAGCTTATGGTTACAACACAAGCTGCAATGCAGAGGAAGATATTCACTTCAGGGCTGTACAGCTGGCCTGAATAACGCCTTGATGTATGCAGTATCTTAACCCTTGGGAAACAGTTGAGTGCCTGTAAATGAGACATGGTTGCAAAGGCACACGAGACCATAGCCTGGCTTCCAATGACTGATGTGATGAGAGCTAGGACAAAAGTTGGCCAAAACAAAGATGCTGCATCACACAAGACAATATCCATTACATATTCCTTTTTTGGTTGACCGAATAATCAAGAAACTAATAGCAGAAGCTACTATTTGTAGTCACATACTTGGAATCGATTCGAAGAAAATGTTAGGTATGATCTCAGGCTTGTCCATGTGTTTCCTCAGGTACGCCGCTTGCCCAATATATGTGAGCAACACTGAAGGCAATAAGCCGAAGGTGAAGCTTAGCTGGAAGACAAAAACAAGGTTCCTTAAATGGATATGGTAGAACTTGCATAAGTTTAAGTACTGATCCATTAATTTTCATAGTAGTGATATAGTAAGAGAATTAATGTACACTGCATGCAAAGAAATATATATAATCCCATCCCCAGGAGCATCACACAGGTCATTTTTATTCTTTTTACCTTAAGAAATGATCAGAACAGCTGTTTCTACTTTTTTATTTACAGTATCTAAATAATCATGTGTACCTGTATAGATCTGATGCTGAAGTATCCCAGATCAGCATAAAGAGCTTCAGTGCCTGTCAAAGAAGCACAGCAAACCTTTATAAACAAATGTAGCTAGCATGAACAAAACTACAACAAGATATCATAAATGTACATACCTGTGAAACAAAGAAGAATTTCACCCAATGAGACCCATCCTTTCTTTTTGTTCCTTCGGAAATAGTCAATGATATATTTGGCGTTGAAAGCCTTCAATGTGCTAATGTCGTACTTGACCGTGTTATAGATCCCGATGCCGGAGATGAGGAGAAGCCACACAAAAACCACCGGTGCAAATGTGTAACCAATTTTGTCGGTCCCAAAGCGCTGGACCGAAAAGAAAACCACCAAAATGGCCACTGTGATCCATACCATTGCATCTGTGTTTGTACAAGTAACCATATGTGTCAAACATTAATTAATTAATAACTCTGCATGATGCTGGATATTTTTGGCCTTAATTTTCTGAATATACTATAAGAATTTTTCTTAAGGAAAAACAGAACACGTTATCATGTGGACATGTAGCCACGTTATCATAAATTTCCAGCCGGGAACAGTGGACAGGCCTCCCGAACAGGCTGTAGTTTGATTGACCTATTCAATTAGTCAACTTTCAAGTTAAGTAGTTAGTATCTTGCGGTGCACCTACTATCCGTGAGTTTTCCTTGGGAAATTGGAGACAAAGTGTTGACACCTAAAATTGTCCAAAGTGCATGCATAATGGACTCCACTACAGAGTATATATCTGTATTTAGAGAGGGGTGACTAATATTTGCCGCAATTAATGACACAAAGTCTTGTCTCCTGATTTTCCTTCGCATCTCTTCCAAATACTCCATATAATACTAACATCACTAGACTATATTATATATGCGAGCAAAATATATGCATTCTACAATTATACGTACATAATACGTGGCTTTCAGCATTACTATACCTGTAGTCAGATGAGGTGCTCTCAACTTGAGTCCGTTGACAGCCGCAAGTACTGAACCATTAAAACATGCAAAAAGAGTGATCATGTCAGGCCCATCCAAACGCCAGGCGAACAATATTTCACATGAACACAGAGTGATCATACGTATGAGCTATGGTACGTACGTACGTACCTGATATCGGAGGGGTTAGCATGGAGTCGCTGATGGCCAGCGCCGTGGCAAGGATGGTGAGGAAGAAGAGTGAGATCTTTGCTGCCTTGCTCGTCTCCAGCAGGTTCTTCATCCACTGGGCTCTCCGAAGCGTCGCCGATGGCTTGCCGCGGTGCTTGTACCTTGACACGAGCTCATCTTCTGCCTGCTGGTTTGGGATGAGGCACACCTTGGCGTACCGCGAGATCAGCGAGTAGAGCGCAAACGTGCCACCTGATGGATCGACAGATCAATCAAACGTGTCAATGTCGGCAGTAGTTATTACCACCACAAGCTATGCAAGTTTTTCTCCTCTGCAGCTAGCTAGCTATTGAACACTTCTAGCTTGATGGTGATACTGCAACTAATGCAGGCTCGATCGAGCGATGACTTGATCAAAGCTGGTGGATCTAATGTCAAAGCCCGTTTGCACTTGCGCGTACGTACCGTCACCGTCGTCGTTGGCGTAGAGCGCGATGAAGACGATCTTGATCATGGTGAAGAGGATGAAGCTGTAGATGATGATGGACAACACGCCGAGGACGTCGTCCTCGTGGTGGACGCCCTCCTTGAAGGTGTTGGCGTACACGTAGAGCGGCGACGTGCCGAGGTCGGCGTACAGGATGCCGACGCACTGGAACGCCAGCCGTAGCGTCCGAACCCAGCTCTCCTGTACACGCGTAGTCAGTGTACCCATGCAATCATCAGATTATACGTACGTAGGCCGGCAGAACAAGTTGCTGCTCTTATTAATTCCAGGATCTAGCTAGTACGCGATGGAGTATATATGTACTAGCTAAATTGTGTGGTGGTGAAGCAGTGAGCAGCGCGGCAAGCTGATCTGCCATGCTGAAATGCATGGTGCGTACCTGTCCGTGGTGGCCGGCGTGCGCTGGCATGGTGGCGTCGCGGTAGAGCGAGTCCTGGCGCTTCACGTCAAACGAAGGCAGCTCCAGCTCCAGGTCGCGGCCGCTGCTGTAGCTGTAGGGGACGATCTCCATGCTACCACCACCCCGGCCGCCGCAGGCGGCAGCAGCATGCTGATGTGCCATCTTCTTCCCGGCCGCCGGCGTCGTCTTAGCTTCCTCTGCTGCGAAAGAAGAGCCTCCTCCTCCTCCTCCTCCTCGAAATTATAGGCTGGCGGCAGCCGGCTCGATCGATCACCACCTCACGCTGCGGCTGTGCAGCAGTGCGTGTACAGCATTTGGCTGTTTGCTTCTTCAATTCCCAGCTGCTCATGTCACTAGCTATGAGGTACCTTTTATAACCATCCATCCAACCGACCTATCTAGCCGCCATCGTCTAGCGTGTGGAGCTCCTGCTCCCAGTTTTCAACGTCGTCGCAGCTTGGGAACTGTTAATAACTATAGAAAAAAGACTTTTTAACCAACCACTTACATATATAATTGCTGCTGCTGCTACTACTAGTAGTTACGTGCCTTGACAGCCTTGGTAACTAGGAGGACTGTATATATCTTGCTAGTACGTACGTACGTACGTACTACTAATCTTCGTCCTGTCCTAGCTGGTTCCATTTCCATGAGAGGTTACTTAGTCTGTCTGCTGAGCCTTGCAGTGGTCGTCAACCTTGACTCGATCCACGCGCTAAAACGGGTACGCGGAAGTCGCGGCTGCGCTGCCAATGACGTCGCTACCTGCCTGAGGCGACGTACGTGGCGTGTCTACGTCTCTACGATGGGGGTGGACTGACCGAGTGATACAAAATGGAAGGGTCGGCGTGTCTGTGATCCTCTCGGCCCATTCCAAGCAAACAATTATATACATACATACATATATCCATCGTTGTCAATACAGCTCTGATCTGACGTTTCATATATAGACTACGACGCGTGATCAGAGTTCAACAAACTGTAAAAAAAAAGTATAATAATCTAGTGTTTTGGGAGATACTCCTAGTATCTTTGGGCCCCGTACCTGGACTTTTGGCTAATATAATACCACTTGTATTGGCTGCTACATGCATGCATGCGTACGCACTGTCTGTCGACCAAGATTAATTCAATCTGTATGTCACCACGATTTCAGATTGATAAGACGTGTTGGATCTCAACTGTATTGTATTCCATCCTTCTAGCCATATATATATACGCGATCATGGTTACGTTCAACAAACTGCAAGTAATCTAGTGTTTTGGGAGATGCTATCTGTGGTTGCCGTACGTGAACTTCCGGCTACTTGGTTGCATGCATGCATGCGTATGCTATATATTACTATATATGTGCACGTTCTGTTGACCAAGATTTGTGTCAGATAAAAGGTGGTGTTGGATTTCAACTGATGATACATCCAACCAGCACATTACTTTGAAATTATTGATAGATGAAAATTAAATAACGGAATCCTTGTCTACCAAGCATCATATAGTTTTTTAAACCACACACACAGAGAAAAGTGTGAGAGAGATCCTTTTATATAAGCTAGATATATGCCCATGCATTGCAATATGGTCATAATTTTTTTTGAATTGAACCTTAGTGATTGGACACGGATGCACGTTCTCCAAGGACTTCCTATCGAACGTAGACACGTGGATCTGCTCTTCGTATCGGAACCAGGTAGGATGCGGACGTGTGAGCGCTGAGTGGAGTGTGATTCGTATCGGACATGACACGTAAGCAGGGATCAAGATTTGGTGTCACTGAGTAGATGATGACTTTAGATTCTTTTTAGGTGTGCAAAGCTAGTGTGGCCCTAATAAAGATCATTAGTTAATCAAAGTTTTTTTCCTTCCAACAAGCATCATTTGGGACTGTCTGGATCCAGTCAACTAAAATAATTAAATTATGATCCAAACAGACTAGATTATGAGGTGAATTATTATAATCAAAATACTACATTACAATAATCATATATTCCACTTCAGACCTGATATTTTGTGATTATGAGTATTTTTTACTTGAATTAAGAATGGTCCACCACAATAATTCAGCAGTCCAAATATGATTATTATTATAGTTCATAATTTAGATTATAATATTCCTACGTAT